TTCTCCACCTGAACTGCTGTGTGGTGGGGCTGCTGTGTGTCTCCGGGGCGGTGTGACAATTCAGTGATGGATGACGTGTGCTCCTTCCTATATGTGACTTTGAGGTCATTTGAAATAAGAGGCTCTATATAATTGTAAGGAATTATTATTGTGGAATTATGAACTAATTATCAGTGTTGACGCTAGGTGGCTCAACTAGATGGCTGTTGACCGTCCTAAAAAAACAATAGCTATGCCCTTCCAGTTGTAATAAAAAAAACAAAAACGATCACAAGTGGAGTGAAATTAAATTGTTGTTTCTTTTAGTGAAGCACATTGTTAAAAACAGAACTTTCTGTAATGTAAGAAAATTACCCAAAGCAGTAGATGTTATTGAATATAAATCCTCTTTGATTCTTTTCAGTCAGAGGTAATAATGAAAATAGCTCTGTCAGCTGAGATTAAGTACTTGAGTGTTTATAGACAAGTGATGCAGAACTTTGTCTGAGATCTGAATGAATACACCAGGCTTCTGTGCTCATGCTGTCAGGCAGATCACGTACATCCGGGAGAGATGCACCAGCCAACCCGATGGTGCAGGTGTCTCAGCACTAACCACAGAAGAAAGAACATGCTGGGCTAAGGTGGGCAGGCTTGTTTCAGGCATATTCATTAAAAAAGGCATCTTTTAATTCTTGTTTCCCATTCTGCTACAATTTTAATGCACAATTATTACTTGCACTTTGTTGTCTTTATGAAAAGCAGTGTATTTTTACAGACTTTTACAGCAACTGATTGCTGATTACAGAACTGAAGACACTGTTTCCTACTTACATAAACGACTGAAATGAAAACATGGGATTTCAGTATTGCATTCTCTGCTTGCACTATCTATTGTGTGATGGTGTCATATCCTGTTTTAATGATGATTCTCTATTGGGTAAAGACTGTATATCTAATTAATGATAAGCAGCAGAAATGCTAAAAACTCACCAAATTCTGTGGGGTGTGATTTAGATCCCGTGTGGGATATGTACATATTTAAGCATTTGTGAACTCTGATTTTCTTCAGAAGCCATTTTTTACCTAATGTTTATCTAGCATGGAAAATAAAAAGCCCATTAAAGAGAACTTCCTTAGAACCTAGGTAAGAAATTAAATCATAATAAAAACATTGTACCAAAGTTGGCCAGTCTAATGTGGTGGCGGGTCTGCTGGGGCTTTGCAAAATATTTAGGACCAGAATTAATCCCATTTACTAAATAATTAGGTCAAGTGGGTATTAAAGAACTCAAATGAAATGAAGATGCCGACCAGACCTCATTGAAAACCATTAATAATCCGCCTTGGAATTGCTTATCTTATCAATAAGGCATGTATTCCTTTAGGCTCGGGAGCATCTCATTGAACTGGACCCGAACAACGGGGCTATACTAGAGGCTATTCAGAGCAGCTTGTTCATCGTCTCTCTGGATGAAGCAAGGCCATTTTCCACACCTGAAAACTACACTGAGGTAAATATGCACAGTTAGTATGCTGTTTGTAATTTCTTATAATTTCTCACTCTGTTATCCATTTCCAAAAGAACTCTTATAGGAAAATAGGGTTCCTTTAATCAGTGGCCCAGTAGCTCTTACAGCTTATTCCCAACTTTGCAGATGTACCCGTCACAACCGTTTTCCAGGCAGTCTGACAAAGAGCCAAAGCATCATCCAGGAGTGTCTGACTTGCTTCAAGGTTAACACAAGTGTCCTCTCACTTCTTAGATGAGCAGTTTATTTTAACAAATATATCAACATCCATCTTTGACTGACCCTGTTTTTTGTACATTTCTGGAACCTTCATTTATTCCAGTTTGTTTCAGGATTTGTATTCAATATTTAATCATTGGTTTAGAAATGTTAAATAATTGTGATCTGCCTGGTATAGTGAATTCCTGCCATGATACAGTTGGGTATAGCCTGGGGTACAAGATGTGTCTGGTGCAAAATGACCATAACATTCAAGAGTGTTTTGCCTTTTTTGCCTGCTGTTCCTGATCCAGATGATTTTACAAGCTCTGACTGGAGACCCAACTGCACGCTGGGGTGATAAATCCTACAACATAATTTGCTTTGCTGATGGCACTTTTGGTTCAAATTGTGATGTAAGTATTGAATTGAATTAGTCTTTATTGCCCCTAAGGGAAGTTTGTCTTGCATATCAAGAGTTCACAACATATAACACATATGACAATAATACAATACAGCAATGGTACAGTATGAAACTCAGTCCAGTATTATAGGATTAAAAACAGACAGTTAGCTAGTAAAGTGTCTAAAACATCAACAAGAAGATCCTTACCTTCAAACAATCTTTTCATGGGTCTGGAATTGAATGCCTCTAGGTGTGAATGAAGTGCTTGCTAACCCGTATACAGGGGTTCCGATACCTTCTTCCAAAGAGCAGTAGAGTGTATTTTATAGAGTTGATGATCATCTAAGATTTTATGTACAAGGTTAATAGTGTCGCTCTGTTAGACATGTCGTCCCTTGCTTAGATATATTATTATTCTGAGAAGTCTTGTAAAAATGTCCTTTATTTACTATTTCCAAATGCCTTTTATTCAATATGTCTTGCATGTGGCAGTCTTTTAAATTAATCAGTTTAGCATAAAAACCTGACCCTGAAGTTCTGCTGTGTTAATATTGATTAGAGTCAACAGAATATGGGCTCTGTGTGAAGGAGATTCTACATATTTTTTAAAATTTTAGTCTGGACCCTGTGTGCTGTTGGTACAGTACTCTGAGAACTATGTGCATGACTGAGCAGTTTAATTTCCCCGTTGTGTGATATATATCACTACATAACACAAATTCATAAAGAAGACACTCCTTTAGGTCAATGTACTGGTGTCTAGATAATATTTGATTGTAAGTAGATTCCATTGTTTATTGTACACTATATATTCGATCTCTAGTGTACAACAAGCCAGTGAAATGTTACTTTCATGGACACGGGACTCGGTTATATAATTATTTTATTTGGCCAGTTTTTATTAGGACACCCGTTTCTTTAAAGCGACCGGCATCCACCGCGAGGTGATACAAACCATGTGCCGCTCGCAACATGCAATATATTGCATCTTACAATGCAAAGCAGAGCAAACGGCACATTTCTCTAAGTGCCGCATACTCGAGTTCTTTCCTGGGGCAAACGCTGTACCGTAAGAGCATGTGGGTGACATCTCTGTGTCTTCTCTGCGGTCTCGTGGTTTCAGCACGCGCCGTATGATGCCATGGTCTTGGTGTCCATGTGCTACTACATCGACCAGAAACTGAAAGCCAGCGAGGGCAGGTGGAAGGTGAGTACCATTCACGTCTCGGTGCTCATACAAGAGGGAGAGCCTGCCCCGTTCTCATCCGTCAATATTGCGCTCCAGGGTTCCGTGGCCGCAAGAGAAATCCCCCCGCCAGAGGAGCTGGTCTTCACCGTGGATCAGAAGGCGCAGGCCGACATTGCGCTAGCCAAGCAGCGGTATCGTGAAAGCGTGAGTTTGACTTTACTGGGGACGGCGTGAGCTGAGGTGCATGTGGTGGGTAGTAGACCGTGCTGGTCGCGTTTTTTTTTTAACTAGAACTGAAGATTTTTTACTCCAGCCTCGTTTTCATTCAAACGCATGCAAACATTTTGGTCACACCTCTTGCACGAATTTTATTCCTCAAAATGTAGTTTCTTAATAGAGCAGGAAATACTTTTTTTTTAGGTTTCAGTAATGGATTGA